TTGCAGCAAGGCAGTTCTAGGTAGGATGTTAAGAAACAGTTTCTAACAGGATAGTTCTGAGAAACACTGCCATAAATTGTCTAAGGAGACGGTAGATTTTCCATTATTAGTGATTTCTAAATCTAGCTTATCAAAACATATGTCCAGTATGGTACAGTATAATTGATCCAGCTTTGGCACTGGTCAATTGGCCAGATGATTTCTTGTCATCCTTCCCAGCTATACTTTCTATCATTCTGCTGAATGCAAAGCAGCACAGCTTCCACAAATCGCAAAGAATGTACTTCACTCCCTCCTTCTGTAGATGATTTTGTAATGGAAAAACTACCTTCTGAGACCTGGACAATACATCTACAGACAGGAGGAACAACCCACATCAACAGAAACTAAATTATGGTGGGCAGCTTATGCTAGCAAATAGCTCCAGTTTGGCAACTTGGAATTACTGCTTGCTGAACTGCAGCCAATGCCTGTTAATCAGGCTGATGAGTCTAGAAACTGCTCATCAGCAGTCTCGTATCATTATCAACTGCAAAATGTATTATGCCTAACCAGAAAAGTCTTTCCATTATAAGCTGAAAGAAGCATCCTGGGTCTCCCTGTTAGTTCAATTCTGAAATGGGAGAGAGAGATCAATACTGAATTTCCATTTAGACCTGTTTCTACAGTTTTATGTCCTAAGGCAGGTCTCAATCAAGGCCATTTATTAAATCTGGATCTTGGCTACACTGAGTTTCAAGAGCAAATTAAGGTGGATTTAGGCTGCAGTGGTGGCCAGTAGGATATACTGAGGAACTCCTGGAGAAAAGAGGGAAAGCAACTTTTAGATGAGGGTTGAAATTGCACAGTCTGTCTCACTTTTCGCAAGCACACAGATGGAAGCACTAATCATAGCTCTCAAAAGAAATCCCCTAAAATTTTACACTCCACAGTCTGCAATGCAAGAAATGTGTCCATGGCTACTGTACATCAATTAAAACCACTTGATTATTGTATACCCTTCTAACTGGTATTATTCTATACCTATATCCATCTTCACTCTTAAAATATGAGAAAGCAGGCTAAATGTAGGGATATTTGAGTAATATTTTGGGTCAGCAGAGGTGTCAAAATAAACAGCCTTTTCTCACCAACAAAACTTTTGCCTTTCACTCTGGACATCCATTAGTTTCAAAAATCATTTACTTTGTATTGTTTTGTGGCTGTTTCATGGAAATCCACGACCTGAAGGTCTCATCTCACAGACTGCCAGTGAAGAGGGTAGCCTTCCTCTTTTAACTACTAACTTTGGGTTGAAGTGCTAGCCTCAGTGTAAGACATAAGGTGTAAGAGGCCACATTTCTACTTCCTCCTCTGGGGAGGAGCTATGGAGGGAGCTGGACCCCGTTAAGAGCCATCTTCTAAGCATCAGAGTGGTTTTGCCATAAGTTTTTCATTTTGGGACCACTTCACTTTATGACCGTGTAATTACGGCAGACAGTGAGGAAAGGGGAAGGTAATCTTGCTGCTGAAGCACTCCCTCACTGGTACAATTTCCAGGCTTGCCCCTCACCTTAATGAACGTTTTAAGTATTTTTTACAGAGTGGAACAACAGCCGTAGGAGGCCAGGGAGTAACCCAGCCTAGCAGGCGTTCCTGTGCTTAGTTTCTTCAGGTGCTGCCTTCAAGCATGGGAAGAGCAGCCCCCAGCTCTCTGCCAAGCCACACAAAAGCATAAGAGACTGTTCAGCTGCTTGTGTAGTAGCACTTTTGAAGAAGCTTGTGTACCAGCATTGGCAGCTGCACTGAGGTTTGACAGCAATGTGGGAGCAGGATGTGCTCCTGGGAAGGCAGAGCTACAGGCTTAACGAGGGAAAGGGAGGGTGTCACTGGTGGCCTGAAGGGCTGGTCTCTTGGGCAAAAGGGGCCCTGCTTCAGCATCATTCCTTGCTTAAATCAAGATGCAATGTATTTTTGCCAGGTGAAAATTTTCAGGAATTGTCATTAAATTTGGATTGGCAAAATCTTAGAAGGAAATTAAGAAAAAGCAAAAGCCCCTACTTACACTAAGGGTCTTATGGTTTCTATTATTTTAATGTTCCTGTTCTTCTGCTATAATAACCACAAAAGTTCAGTAAAGGTTTATGAGTCAAAATAAATCAGTTAGATTTGCTCCTGATTAGTTTTTAATGAGATCTAATGAACCCATTCCAAGAGGGACATTAGGTGACCCTGTCACATGGCTTTTTGCAGTATGGTAGAAAGTGTTCCTTCAACTGGGGAGGCATGTATCCAAAACAGGGTTTCTGCTGACTCACGTGATGCCCTGGATGCTGACATAAGTCAGTATTGCCCTCTGTTTTCTTCGGGAGTGTTCAGGGAAGACCAAGAAAGCTCTAGACCTGGGCATTGCAATCCATCGTCAGGCACAAATCAAAAGACAAACGAGATCATTTCCTCCTCTGTTTTAAGCAGATGAGAAGCAGTGATTCGGCTGGCTGTCTTATGTGTGCTGATAGTTATGGGCAATTTAAAGAATTCTCCTGAGTATCCTTCAAACCAGCAACTGAAAGGAAAATCAGAATCCTGTGACTTTTGCACAGTGCAGAAATATTTTTTTCTAGCATATAGAACAAGACTATAAATTCTGTCTGTGAGGTGCTGAACACTGGAATAACCCTACCCAAAAGTCCCAAGCCCCTCTAAAATTGCATCATCTTGAGTCTGATACTGAGAAAATAAATAGTTATGAGTAAAATGCGTAAGGGAAAAATATCTGTTTGAAATATAGATGTATTCAAATATAGATGTATTCAGTAAGCTTTCTCCAGCGGTGGAGGTTGTAATCAGAATGTCTAGGCACAGCCTTGAGTGATATTTTCTCTGACCTGAATTTGCTTAAGATGCATTTTCTTGTAGGACTGCTGTTGAAAGGTGAAGTAATCACAGTTAGATGCTGGCTACGAGAAAGCCCATCCACAGCCACTCACCCGGGCTACAGCACTGTGGTACCAGGGATTCTCTGAATTTATGAATTTGATGAGGAGCTTTGCCTTTTTTTTTTCTTTTTTTTTTTTTTTTGGATTGACCATTTGATTTGACTGGGCATATAGAAAGAAAGGAAAAAGGAAACAGAAATCAAAAACATAATCCACAGTTTTCACTATGTCAAAGATTAGGGCAGAAGGCAGCTGTATTAGAGAAGTAGAAGCAAAATGGTTATACTTAAAAATTAGCAAAAAACAGAAGATGAGAATGTACAGCTACTTACAGCAGTAAGATCAGTAGGAGTAAGAGTGTTCAGGAAAGGAGTCATGGTACAGGCTAAGTCAATACTACACTGGGTAGAGAGATCATGAGCAACACCTAGGCTTCACACAAGGATTGCGCAAAAAGGGCATGGAAAGTCAGAGTGAGACCAAGTGAAACGAACAAGGATAAACAGAAAAGAGGGGGAGTGTTAGAGCAGTAATGGGCTGGGGAGAAACATGCACATAGGTGACTTAATAAGTCAGTATGGGATAGCTGGCGTCAAGGTATCCCATCACTGTGGGATGATCCAGGGGAGCTACTTTAATATAGTTTTGTTGGGGAGGCAGATGTAGGTGGGGGAGAGGAGATTAAGGCATTTATTTTGCGGACTCCATTTTGTATGTGATTTGATGTGAGCTTTTCCAGAGAACACAGAGCGCTATCTGATTGTTCTTTTGTCTGCTTAACTCTGGTTACACTGGAATTAAGAATTATCAAACAATGCCTGAGAAACAGCCCAAGCTGCATAAATGTAGTGACTATTGATATTATTTTGTTTCCTTATAGCTGGCATATATAGGCTACTTGATGCTATTCAATTACATAGTGTTAGTGAAGATGGATCGCTGGCCATCTACACAGGAATGGATTGTCATCTCGTACATTTTCACTCTGGGAATAGAGAAGATGAGAGAGGTAAAATCAACCCAACCGAGAAGGGTAGCGTGAAAAAGGAAATAAATGCTTTTTTCATTTTAATATCTGGTTTTATTATTTTTCTCCAGGTATTTTTTTATGGATGGACTTATCATAAAATCACCTTTTTTTGTGAAAAAGTAGATGGATTGTTAAAAACACAGAGTTAAAGATAATGCAAGTTTAATAGCACTCATAAGTACATGGTGGTCTTCTGACATATCTTAAAGCTTTGTCATATTCCTTGAAGTGTGGCCAGGGAACTGAAGTACATTTTAAGGGGAAGGAAAGGAGAAAGGTTATATGCAATGGACATGGAGATGGGATACCAGCCAAAAATGCCATGTTTAACTCCCCCTCCCCCAAATAAACTTCCTTCAAAATTTACAGCTGTTCTGTCTGTCCCAGCTATGCTATACAAGGTCTGTGAATAAAAACAGCCCTGATCGTCGGAAATTTACAACCATATTGAGTATTGCAGCACATTTCTAATAGGTTTTCCCCCTTTTTATCTTGATATTTCTTGATAATTATGTCAAGTAATCGCATACATCTCCTTAAAGATGCTAAAGCATGACAAACAAGAAGAGGCTCTTTAAGGTGGCACTGTGCATGCAGTCTGTATGCAGTGTGGAGCTCTTCTGCCTTCCCCTGCCCCTCACGGTCTCACACTCCCAGCTGCTGCTGTGCCCTTTTCACTTGGCCAAATATGCATTTATTCCACATTGGCACCAGAGGCCAAATTCAGCCCTGATGTGAGTGAGTGCGATTCCCATTGACCTCAGCTGAAACATGTACCCCTGGGCTGAATTTGTTGCCATCCGTGTATGTCTTCTCGGCAGCAAATGTGCTTTTAAATGCTTTGGAGGGGTAGAGGAAACAT